GAGTGTTTTTTTAGCCTCCCTGCCTGCCAAAAAAGCGATTTTATTTGCAAAAATGGCAACGTTCTCTGTGTAAAAATCCCTATCAGTATTTGACTTCGAGATAAATAATACCTATCTTGGTGGAGTGTAGGAAAATACTGTACACTTAGCCTTTGCAAGTAATGCCATTAAAATTTTGAGCATAAAGGGAATAATTATTCTACAGACCACCAACAATAGATCTTTTAAATATACACACAGTATTGGAACATATGCATATACACATATATTGTATTCTACAGCATCAAACCTGATGCCTGAGTCATGAAATACTCCAGGGAGTATTATAAATATACATATATGTATTATAAACAGGAAAATACACAAGCACACACTCTGACTAGAATTATAGATGTATGTATACATACATACACATATTATATATATGGATGTAAAATTAACTTGGACTGTGTTGGCAGAGACAAAACTGAAACGAAGTCAAAATCTGTTGAGAAAATTTCTAGCAGGAAAGCGAGCGTGAGTTCTTTACGTTAAGAGTTTTAGCTTCACCTCACTTCCCGTAAAAATAAACCGCTCCATACTTAGCAGATCCCCTCCTTATGCAAGGCCATCAGCTCCGCGGCTCAGACTGAGCTAAACCTGCTCTAGGCAGCCCTAAAATAGAGACTTTTAAAATGCTGGAGCCACGGGCTACAACATTCGCCCAGAGGCTCCTCTCAGATCAGAAAGAAAAGGTGAAAGCAGCGCTCCTCGTTGCAATGGCCAAGGACATGAAGTGGAGCAAAATGTGAGCTGGTGGAAACCTGGCAAACGTCCACTTTGTCTCACTGCAAAATTCACTACACGTCTTCTGTTCGGCAAAGCCACCCCCCTCCCTCTCTTCACCACCACAGCAGTGGATTACAAGACACAAGTGAGGGTGTGGTGTTGATTCTGGAATTGCAAGGCTTCACCCGGCTTTCTCCTAGTGGATCAGATTTCATTTTGTTACAGGATTATAGTGATTCCAGCATGCAGATTTGTTTTATTTATTAGGCAATCATCAAGTTGCATATTAAAAAATCTAACTATATATCTAGGCATTTTAACTTCTATTTAAGCGCTCTTTAGAATGCGGCCTTGACCAAGTGTTGGACTCCAGATTAACGACCACCCTATCAGCACTAACCACTTCTCTGGCAGCAGTTAATCCATTTAGCAAAGTTAAGTATCTAGTTCCCACTCTCCTTTTTAAAGAGAAGTAGCAGTTAGCATACTAATCACTGTGGCTTGCCTTTGCAGCACATTTTACTTCCTTGGGAAAAAAAAAAATAATACAAGGATTAGATCCAAAAATATA